TCAGTTGGGTAGCCTTGTCTGATCAGATGTCTGAGTGATGGCAAAATGCTGAAACATCTCAAGTTTCAGCATGCGAATACTCTTCCTGGTCTGCTCTTCTGCGTCGATGCGTTTGGACACCATTGATGTCTGTAAGCTGTTTAAGTAGACCCTCAGGGCAGATATTCCACGAATCTGTGCATTATGTGACATCCCTATTGGTTTTACAGGAACCCCTCCTTACAACATGCTGGAAGTAGCAGTGAACTAAATATGGGATTGGTTTAGGCAGGACTGACTTGATACTGTGGTCTGATGTGGTATGACCCGTGAAGGTCCGGGTTAGAATTGATCTGCAGTAACCCATGCTTGTCGTAAGAAGCGACTAACGGGATCAGGTGGTCAGGCTCACTGACTTGGTTGACACTTGCGATTGCGCAGATCGATGCTCATGTTGTTGATCACTGGATTGTCTGGTCCAGACTCGATTATATACAGACCGCCGCCATATAGCTGGAATATTGCTGAGTGAAGCGTAAAACTAAACTCACTCACTCTGATGTGGTATGGTTAAAGTACTTACATCATTGAGTGTTGTACACAACTACATTCTCCCATTGTGGGGATTTCGTTTCAGAATCGATTCCTTGTACTCCATGCATATGGTAAGAACTCCTGATCAGGTGTGACTATCCATTGTTGGAGCCATCATATGTCATCATTCCCTGACCGCGTCATACCAAAAGACGTTAAAATATGGTACTTGTTGGTCCCTACCTGGCGCTCGGCATTAATGGGTACAACAAGGACTGGTCGGCTCGGAGTCAGTATAATGTGTCTGAGTGGGGTATTCATTCTTCACTGCGGCATGGTATCTCAGTGGGCTAGCACGATAAAACCAGCTCAGGTCTGGGCTAGTACAAGCAGCCACACATACACATACACACGCAAGCACGACGTTAAACCCAATTTCACCTCACCTCACCTCATATGTTATCAAGCTATTGTTCTTGTAGATTCTGAGTCAGGAAGTCACTCTCCATTCTGAAAGTGAATTTGAAAAATGTTAAACTGAAGCAACCATAGGTTATATGTTATCAAGCTATTGTTCTTGTAGATTCTGAGTCAGGAAGTCACTCTCCATTCTGAAAGTGAATTTGAAAAATGTTAAACTGAAGCAACCATAGGTCATATGTTATCAAGCTATTGTTCTTGTAGATTCTGAGGCAGGGAGTCACTGGTCATGCTGAAAGTGCATTTTAAACAAGTATAATTGATGCAATGATAGGTCATTATTTAGAATTATAGATAGGCACTATGCCAACCATGAAATCCTGTAAGTCAGAGAAATCACTCAATTCTGTTCATTCCTAAAAGTAGAACCAAATCACCCCTTTGGGGCTATATTCTGGAAACTGGATATTCTTGATTGCTCTGTTATATATTGCCACAGTGGTAATTCTGGAATAGAATAAGCCCCCAAAGTCTACATGCATGTGGTAGAAATGACTAAACAAGCCGGTGGTCAGGCTTCCACAGGCCTGGATGGTTGCATATTTTACCTTTAAGGCCAGACCCAGTTTATTTCTTGTTTTACGGATTTTTGTACTGAAAAAAACTAAAGGCAGGAGGGAAAAGAAATAAAAGTAATTAAATGCTAAAAGTATTTTACTTTGGGCAATTTATAAAGTGTATATATGGGGCAAAACACAATCTAAAAACTTTTCTTGTAATTAACATTTTTAACCAATGACAAAACCCAAACATTAGGATTTTATTTTTGGTCTGGTGTAATGTTACTTTGAATATAATCAATCAGTGGATAGTATGGGACAGACTTGATCATTAACAGGCTGCTGTCATATAACTTGGATATTGATGGGTGTGTTATTAAACAACAAGACAATGTGTATCCTGACAGAATGCACTGTATCCTCACTTATAGCTTGGGTTGTTCATGGTGGCGGTAGGGTAGCCTAATGGTTAAAGCGTTTGGGTTCGCTTCCCCACATGGGTGCAATATGTGAAGCCCATTTCTTGTGTCCCTTGCTATGACATTCACTGCTGGAATAGGGCGGTGGGGTAGCCTAGTGGTTAAAGCGTTGGCTCGTCACGCCGAAGACCCGGGTTCGAATCCCCACATGGGTACAATGTGTGAAGCCTATTTCTGGTGTTCCCAGCCGCGATGTTGCTGGAATATTGCTAGTGGCATAAAGACCATACTCACTCACTCACTCACTCAGCTGATTGTTCATGCTGTCAACCAGTGGTTTGCCTGGTTCACCTTGATCATTGGGATCAGAATTCATCAAAACTACAGTATACCGCCTCACTCAGTAATATTCCAGGTATATGGCGTCAGTCTCTAAATAATCGAGTCATGACCAGACAATCCAATGGTCAACATCATGAGCATCGATCTATGCAATCGGGCTATGATGACATACATGTGTCAACCAAGTCAGCGAGCCTGACTTCCAATCCTGTTAGTCGCCTCTCATGACAAGCATGGGTTGCTGAAGACCAATTCTAACCTGGATCAGTATTCATTTTCAATACCAATCAGACTGGAGGACATCTGTATATTTACACTGGGTGTGAGTAACTTCATTGCCTTTGAGGAATTATTGATGACCAGTAGGTGTAAGTGGTTTTAGGTGTTGGTAATCGGTCAGTTACCTGACTGCTGGTCTGCCTGCTGTCTACAGGTTATGGCACTGAACACTGCCAGGATTGATTTGTTTATGCTCAGGCTTCACTGTACTTCATTTGTTGAAGGTTGGTGCCAGTGCAATAAACAGGATTCAGAGACTATTGTCTAGCATGGCTGAACAAGGCTTCACTTAAAAGTGTTTAGCTTAACACATTTTGTTAAAGAAAAATTAAAAGGTTATGGTGCCATGTATACCTGTGCAATAAATTTTGAACGATCCGCTAAGATAGTCGTAAAGATGTTAATGTGTCTAGCATGGCTGAACAACAAGACTCCTTCCAGGTTATGGCACTGCTGCTAGATACAGCTACACTGTAATACATTTGTTATGGTCTGCAACACAAATCAGGCTAGTTGGCTGTAACTCCTTGGATGAAGCTGACACAAATCAGGCAGTTGTGTAATGGTGAAGCCATGGAAATGTTACATGTGAGAAATATTCAGTGACACTTAAAACAGATCTGTAGGTTTTTGTCTTTTAATATAGTGATATGTCAGTGGTTATGGTAAACCTAAAATATTTACAGGCCTGAAATCCCTGAGGAACATTTAACATCTGAAAGAAGTAGATTTGGTCAAGAAGGCTTGTGCCAATTTGTAATGGCACATTTAAAAAAAAAATGGTTGATAAATGTCTTTCAGAATCATTATCCTACAATAGCTGTTTTCTTGTGTTGTTACCCCAACTGTCTTTGACTTGATATTATTTCAACCATATGTCAAATATTATTCAAAGTATTGTAAAGGATATTGTAATCATATCATTCTTTGTCTCTATCTTATGCTCATTTTCTTGTGAGTCTTTGGTTGTATGTCCCCGCCGTGATGTTGCTGGAATATTGCTGAAAGCGGCGTTAAACCAAACTCAGTCAGTCAGTCAGTTGGTTGTGTGTGTAGTGATTTGAGTTTTACTGATGGTTAATCCTGAATGTATGTTACCTTGTGGATTTTCAATATTAAATCTTAAATCAAAATTTTAGAATAGGTAGTACGTATGGCCACCTTTTTCCTCACCACGTCTCTTTAATGACTGTTATATTTTTCTTTATTCAGAAACAAGAGATACAATTTGTAAGACTTCAAAGTATTATGACAGGACCAATGAAAAATGTTGTCCAAAGCCTTTGAAACATTTTAACACATCTTTTCAATGTCTTTCTGCCTGCATAAGTGTCTGCATGACATATAATGGTAGAGCAAGCCTTAACAAGTGTCCGACGTATATAGACGGTTACAAGCCACAGTCCCGGCTGGTTACTACAACAATTGCCTCAGGGGATGGCTGACCCAGGATTTCCCACGTATTATTTTCCCACTTTGTTTTTGTTTAATTTCAATGGAAAAAAGATACCTGTCACTGACTGTTGAATATAAGCTGTCAAGCACATGCTGCGATGAACTCCTGAGGGAAAACATATAAATGGCTGGTTTGTGTAAGTTGTATTGATTCTGAATGATGTTTAGCGTGTCTTCAACAGAGCGAACTAGGGTTAAACCCTGCTGAGGAAGTATCTCGTTATCTCTTTATCAGTATATGTCAGTACAGAGTAATAAAAAGTAGGGTTTTTTTTCTACAAAATTAGAATCTGAAAAAATATACAAAGGGATAGGTTTAGATACTGTTTATTATTTTTTTTATATCAGTCTTCACTCAAAAGTGTTTAGCATTAACACTGATTTTAATTTTGTTAAAGAAAAATTAAAAGTACTTTGTTTAAGAAAAATTAAATAGTGCTGATCAGAGTTAAACTCTTGCTTTTAATTTCACAACATTTCAAAGTTTTACCCTGTGATTTGTTTTGGTAATTACATTTTTATCATACCTAATCCTTTTTGTGTGCTATGATATCGAGTTATGATAACGTGCAATGTAGTGGGTGAGATCTGACATCACATCAGCAATACAGCAGAGTTATCTGCATTGCTGCCTTGAGAGAAATTACATAGAATGTCCTCCATGTCAAGAACATTGAGATAAACATTATCTTGTTCTGTCCAGTTCCTGGGGCTACGAAAGCTCCAGATGCAAATATATAATGTCAACTTTGTGTAGTCACAGTTGCAGGAGATTATGGACAACACTTGATTTAGGTATAAGACAAAATAATATGGATGTCAGCTTCTTCTTTATTGTATACACAACGTTTCTGAGCTATTCCATGCCCCTTCGTCAGGTGAATGACGATGAAGGGGCAAGGAATAGCCCAGAAATGTGTATACAATAAAGAAGAAGTTGACATCCATAATATTTTGTCTTAGACTTGAATACTAACTTCTATATCCCTCTCAAGAACCTCAACACCTGATTTGACATTGCAACCCGTCAGCCTAGTGGTTAATGGTGGAGTGGTTAGAGCGTCCACCCGGAGAGTGGAAGGTCGTGGGTTCGATCCCCGACCGCGTCATACCAAAAGACGTTAAAATATAGTACTTGTTGGTCCCTGCCTGGCGTTCGGCATTAATGAGTACAACAAGGACTGGTCGGCTCGGAGTCAGTATAATGTGTCTGAGTGGGGTATTCATGCTTCACTGCGGCATGGTTATAATCTCAGTGGGCTAGCACTATAAAACCAGCTTCAGTCTGGGCTAGTACAAGAAGCCGCACATACACATACACACGCATGCACGTCGTCATATGAGCGAAATATTCTCAAGCATGACGTTAAACCCAATTTCACCTCACGTCACCTCACCTAGTGGTTAAAGTCCGCTCGTCATGCCGAAGACCAGAGTTTGATTCCCCACATGGGTATCAAAAACCACAACGTATGAAGCCCATTTCTGGTGTCCCCTACCATGATACTGCTGGAGTATTGCTAAAAGTGACATAAAACCAAAACTCACTCACTCATGCTGTCAACCACTAGTTTGCCTGGAACTGGTACTCTCCAGCTAACATGTCCATGAATAAAGTTAACATTAGCATGAACTTCATATCTTTACTCTGCCTGTTTGATTGCAATTTGGTTTGGATTTTTACCTTGGATCTGATTTTGTATGGGAAAAGGTTACACTGCACATCTAAATACATTTATTACTCACCTGTTTAATATATCACTGTTTAATAAATCTACAATGTTATTACACATTGTGTAATAATGTTGCGTGATGCCGGACGTAGGACTTCGTAATGGTTTACAGTTATGACGTCACAATTCTAATACCTCTGTCACAATGGTATTAGACCTTGCTTGACTCGCGGCAGTTTCTATCAATTTATGTTGGAGGGTAATAAACAGAATACTAAACTCACTTCCATGAAATACCATTTTTATTAAACTAGTGAAAGATTATGTATCAAACTCACTTTTGCTTGTTTGATACCAAATCATTAACTTGTTTGATAAAAATGGTATTACACTGAAGGTCATTTAGTATCCTCTATTACTGTAAGAATTTCTTCTTGAACTTCAGTGGTTGTTGAATTATAAGAAGCCCACTTGAACATTATTTAAAGCTTCAGAATTACCTTAATTATATTTTTATGCTCGTTTGATGACAAAACATTGTAACTTGTTTGATAAAAGTTTTGTGGTTGAGTGTGTCAAATATTGATGGTTGATGGTTAATTGTGTCATAGACTGATGTTTAGTTACATGTTTGATTGTGTCAAAGATTGATGTCAGATGGTTAACTGTGTCAAAGATTGATGTCAGATGGTTAACTGTGTCGAAGTTTGATGTCAGATGGTTAACTGTGTCAAAGATTGATGTCAGATGGTTAACTGTGTCGAAGAAGCTGTGTAGAAGATTGATGTCAGAATTGATGTCAGATGGTTATGGTTAACTGTGTCGAAGATTGATGTCAGATGGTTAACTGTGTCGAAGATTGATGTCAGATGGTTAACTGTGTCGAAGATTGATGTCAGATGGTTAACTGTGTCGAAGATTGATGTCAGATGGTTAACTGTGTCGAAGATTGATGTCAGATGGTTAACTGTGTCAAAGATTGATGTCAGATGGTTAACTGTGTCGAAGATTGATGTTATGCGGATTATTGCGTCAAATATTGATTTTACATGTTCAAAGTTTGACAAAGGATGGTTGATTGCATCAAACATTGAAACTGCAAGGTACATTTAGATGATGATTGATGTAATATATTGGCTTTAAAAGGTTGACAGAACATGGTTGCTTGTGTCAAGGAATGATGTTACACAACGTACCTGTATATTTTCAGATTGACAGCAATGTGTCGGTACCACTGTTCTGTTTCCCAGATGCTCCTGAGTACAAGCCACCAACAGGCCCAGTTCCTAGGTAACAGATGCTACCTTTCTTTCAAAATTCAGTTCCAACCTGTTGTAACACTTAAACAAGATACCCGTTTAGATCCTGGTCAGAATTGATCTGCAGTAACCCATGCTTGTCGTAAGAGGTGACTAACGGGATCGGATGGTCAGGCTCACAGACTTGGTTGACACATGTCATTGCATGCCAATTGTGTAGATCGATGCTCATGCTGTTGATCACTGGATTGTCTGGACTCGATTATTTACAGACAGCCGCCATATAGCTGGAATATTGCTGAGTGCGGTGTTAAACAACAACCAACAAACTTAAACAAGAGTGCAATATAAGTTCACTGGTTTTTATTAAGGACAACGCACACCTTATGAGAACCCTAAGGTTAATCAGTTAGGAAAACATGTTGTTAAACACTATTAGTTTAGCTTCAAGACTGTACTGAATGAGAAGTCCTTGTTCGAGTAGTATTTCTTTCATTGCAGCAGTCACATCTACATCAGCAGACTGTACAGGGACCCAGTGTTTTATCATTAGTATATATCACCACATGAATGTTTATTGTCACATGTTTCATGTTACAGTGAGTCCTACTCGTTCGTCCTTACCAATATTGATGGAGAGAGGGTGTATGGATATTGTCGCAGGATACAGGTAGGACAACGTCCTATGATTTAAATTGTCAGAACAATTTGCACAGCTACATAGGCCTGTAAACTGCCGCTACATAATGCACAAGTCATCTTTACCACGGGGACCTTATATTGATCACTTTAACAAGGCCAGTGTCCCATTCAAATAGAGGGGTGGTGGGGTAGCCTAGTGGTTAAAGCGTTTGCTCGTCATGCCGAAGACCCGGGTTCGATTCCTCACATGGGTACAATGTGTGAAGCCCATTTCTGGTGGCCCGTTGTTGTGGTGAAGCTGGAATATTGCTTAACGCGACATATAACTAAAAGCTCACACACACTCACTCACTATTCAAATAGCACTGGCAACTCCTATAAAGAGTTATGCCCCTTATCTCTCAAGATCCACCAGTCATAGTTGTAAATCCTGATCCATAGCAGTAACGGTAAGTTATCAGGACCATGCCACTGAAACGTTAACACCTGCAGCTTCCATTCTATGGGCTTTCCTCCAATATTAGCACCCTGGTCATGCCAGAAATGTAAGTTGGAGGTTCTATTCCCAGTTCAACAAAATTTTGTTTCTGGGTTTGCTTGTACCATTTTCTGACCATGTAGTCTCCAAAGACATGCATCTCTTTGGGCTTTCCTCTCTCATTAAGTTGAGATGCAGTGATATAATGGGGATGCTATTCGAAGCAGCGTTAAACCCAGCTAACTCACTCCCCAAACACTAATCTGCCACACTGAAGTGACTGTGGATGGTTTGGATTTGTTATCTCTATTGTGTTTCTGTTCCAGCCACCAGACTCAAGTCTACAGGAGGTGATCTGTATCATCAGCCCAGTGGATGCCTTCAACATGTACAACAAGGTACGACTGAACACAGTTTAGGAGGGAATGGTGGTATGTGGTGTGGCCAAGTGGTTAAAGTGTTTGCTCGTCACGCCAAAGACAATGTACAGTGTATGAAGCCCTTTTCTAGTGTCCCTGACGTGATATTGCTGGAATATTGCGACAAGCGACGTAAAACTAAACTCACTCACAGGTCTAGCCTTGTGGTTAAAGGTCACTCCGAAGACCTAGGTTAGATTCCCCACATGGGTTCAATGTGTGGAGCCCATTTCTGGTGTTCCCCGCCCTGAATTTGTTGGAATATTGCTAAAAACAGCACAAAACTAAAACCTCACTCACACCTTCACCCACAGCGTGTGAAAGACCCTAGGGATCCTGTAGTAGTTCCCTGTACTGGATTTATTATCTTGATTCAAGAATGTCCAGTCAGCAGTCACTCAATTCTTTGGATTGATTTTCTTTTGACCAATCAATCGATATGACAAAAGTGTCTGTACATTTCTTACCAAATTGTTGCATGTCGATATAGGAGTAGAATGACTTTAATCTAGGAATACAATGACTCTTATCTAGGATCAGTCAGTGGGTGGTGTTTATTTACATGCCTCATTGGGCGGTGGGGTAGCCTAGTGGTTAAAGCGTTGGCTCGTCACGCCGAAGACCCGGGTTCGTATCCCCACATGGGTACAATGTGTGAAGCCCATTTCTGGTGTCCCCCCGCCGTGATATTGCTGGAATATTGCTAAAAGCAGCGTAAAACTGAACTCAGTCAGTACTTGCCTCATTGATGCTTGTGCATTGTGAGGTGATTTGTTAAGTAGGATGTCAGTATGTTTTGACTGAAATCAGCTTGGCATGGCCAGGGGAACTCACTAAAAAGGATTGGATACCTTCTCTAGATGTGATACATATTTTCGGGTTACAGGCATAGACATCAAGATAAACTTTTTTATCAGACTCAACTACAGATTAGTTTCAGAAGGGTGTCATGGATGATTATTCACTCTGTGGACATCGTGTTAGCTTGACCCAGATCTGGTGATATATGTAATCCTCCCTGATATTGATATTGGCATGTTACAACTTTGTCGTTTGTTTAGTTGTTGGATGAGATAGAGAAGCGCAGAGCGACGTCAACTGACCTTGCACAAGAACTGATTGCAGCATCCTTCGGTCGGCCTCTGCCCAAGCCTGGCAAGGTCATCAACATCAGAACACTGGTGAGATGGACATTTATTACTCGCCCGTGGAAGATACTGCAGTGTACTATTTATACGGCTTACAGTTATGATGGTTTACAGTTATGACGTCACAATGCAAATGCCTCTGTCGCAATGGTATTAGACCATGCTTGACTCGCGTAAAATTGACATGAGAGTCATCACACTGTAGGCTGTTTCTATCAATTTATGTTGGAGAATAATAAACAGAATACTAAACTCACTTCCGTGAAATACCATTTTTATTAAACTTGTGTGAGGTTTAGCATCAAACTTGCTTTTGCTCGTTCGATACCAAATCATTCACTCGTTTAATAAAAATGGTATAACACGGAAGGTTGTTTAGTATCCTCTATGTATGTCATGGATGATGTTCAAACTGTTAAATATGATCAATAACCCTGTACCAATACTATGAGGCGATGTTGGTAAATAATTAATACATGTAGTTAAGACTATAAACATCTTGACTTGTAGTTCCAGGTAAGGTAGGGAGTTTAATTATTTACCAATAATTATGTATCCGTTAAATTATACAGATCATAGACCATGATGAAGGCACAAAAATACCTCTGTGAACATTCCAGGTTTGAGTTCATCACCAGCTACCTATGTTTGTTGTACAGAATAACTAATGGATCATGTGATTAGATGCAATGACTTGATGGCATTTCACTGAAACCAAACAGCATGGATTATACTGTCAACGCGTGGTATATGGTCAACTGGGGAATTAGCTCATGTTTAAGACGACATTTATGTACAATACGTTGTCAAGACGAAGGAATATGTTCAGTTCAAACTTCTTTAGTTACATGACAAACAAATACACAAGACATAAATGAGGTGAGCGGAGTACCTGCTCAACCCCAGGGCGTTTCCTGCGAGCGGCATTATCCTGCTTGTGGTTGTCCCAACACAGACAGTCGGAATACCGGACTCGTACTCTGTTTTCCAATATACATCTATATGTGAGCATATATATACAGGTCTTGACAACAATGGACAGGCGACGACTCAACAATGGACAGATAGAGAAACAATAGCACTTCCTTGACCAGTTGATGTGATGGCAGACCTGGCCAAGGGGGGTGACCAATAAAGGTTATAAATGTCATATACAGTAATTAATTGTCTGACAAGTCAATGTACAATACGGAAGTGATAAGGATTGCATAGAATACAGATTAGCGTCATATAGATAATTACAATAAAGTCTCAAATGTCTTGAGTACATAGTTTTTACTTTTTTAAATATTTGGACGATGGCTGTCCTGAATTAGTGCCTATAACAGTACTGTTAAATCACTTGTTTGTCCAGTCTCAGTTATTGAGAAGCAATGACTAGGTATATAGCTGGGATATTGCTGATAGTAGCACTAAGTTTATTGCCTCACACACTGATATTCAAACTATTTGATGGTTATTAGTAAACAATTGAACCTGGACAAGAAAATAAAATGTTGGACATTATCAGCATCTTGGCAAATGGGAGTGCCCTTTTATTTAATAAACTTCTGAAAGAAGTTTTTCTGACAACCCAATTGTTAGTCGCTTCTGAAGACAGCTTTGGTTGCTAACAACCATCTCTGTTCAAAATATTCATGTGACTTTAAACTTAGCCTTACAATAGAAAACCCTTTTGGAAAGGCTACTACTGTTTTAGAAATCTGATATGAAGAACTTGTGAAAAATGGGTATTCTTCTAGAATTTCAGGCTCACATCGGTCATCAGTGAGACAAGCCAAATTTTGGTGGAGTAGTTCATGAGAGACCATGAAAGAAAGTATGAAAATGATCATAAATCATGCTTCTTTTTCAGGACAAGAAGGGAGAACTGGAAACATTGTTCTTGAACCGGCCATCAGATGTTCGCAGGGAAAAGGTGAGGTCTTGCAGGATACATTGATTCTAAAGTCAGATGAGGGGGAAGCTCAGATTCTTATAAACTGTTGTCTCAGAAGATGTTTTGAACAGACTTTTGAAAAAAAAATCAAGAAAATTAATCGTGCTGAAATCTTTTATTAATAACATTTTTTAGTTTGGCAACTGTAACTGAAATAATATCCAGTGTCAATACAGAATCCTCCAGAATATCAAAGTTTGGTCCCTAAAAATGTCTTCATAATTCATGTGAATTGCAGAGCTTTGGATTATTGGTATTGCAGGCTATTAAATATGTCAGATTTCCACAGTTTTACAGAAACATTTCCACTATATAGGAATGAGGTCCAATTGTTGTATGTGTTGCAGGTCAACTATGAGTGTCTGCTCAACTACCTGGGGACAGACAAGCTCATCAAGGTGTTCTCATCTCTCATGATGGAGCGACGTATCCTGCTCTGCTCAAACAGCCTCAGGTAGGTAGAGCTGATTATTTTACCTTCCTGTCTTTTATTTTTGTAGTTTCCAGTCTTCTTTCACTTAGTTATCATTATAATTCAAATACGTTTTGGTTGTACTTCCTGGGACCATGTCATGCTGAAGGCCCGGGTTCGACTCCCCACATGGGTACAATGTGTGAAGCCCATTTCTGGTGTCCCCCGCCGTGATGTTGCTGGAATATTGCTAAAAGCGGTGTAAAACCCGACTCACTCACTCACTCCTGGGACCAATCCCAGATCCCAGGCTAAACAAGAAACTTTAAAGAAATCAGGGCCTGGCGGCACCAGTAGAAATGTTTGAAATTAAGTCTGTTCATGAATAAGAAATTTCTGTCAGGATCCCAAAACAACCTACATCGGTCTTAGAAAATGATAACAGTCACCTACCTTTTGTGTGACCTTGACCTTGTGTTGCAGCATTCTGACGCTGGCAACGCAGACGGTGCATGCCCTGGTGGCCCTGCTGTATCCGTTCAGCTGGCAGCATATCTATATCCCCATACTGCCGTCCGACATGATCGAAGTGTGCACCTCCCCAACACCTTTCCTCATCGGCATACTGACGTCACATCTACCTCAAGTAATGGAGCTGGAGGAACTACTGGAGGAGGTATGTAGCCCTGACATTGTATCTAGTAACATGTAGCCCTGACATTGTATCTAGTAACATGTAGCCCTGACATTGTATCTAGTAACATGTAGCCCTGACATTGTATCTAGTAACATGTAGCCCTGACATTGTATCTAGTAACGTTTAGCCCTGACATTGTATCTAGTAACATGTAGCCCTGACATTGTATTGAATAATATGTGGCCCTGACACTATATGAAAAGTTAAGAAAGTGCCCTGAGTGATGTCATTGTGTTTCTATTTACATTAAGAGAGATTACTAAAAGCATTGTGTTGACAGTGTCACTAAACATTCTGTGAATTGACACATGTCATCGGTTCCCAATTGCGCAGATCGATGGTCATGTTGATCACTGGATAGTCTGGTCCAGACTCGATTATTTACAGACCGCCGCCATATAGCTGGAATATTGCTGAGTGTGGCGTAAAACTGAACTCACTCACTTATTTAAAGTTAAATGTCCCTGGTGCTTAATACACGTAAAACCCAGAAGGGCAGTATTATAAGAAGCAGCTGCAGAATATTTTCAGACTAGACCTATCAGTGTGACATGTTGTGTGTGCAGGTTGTGATTGTAGACCTGGACAAGAAGCAGTTTGTGCGGAGTATTGGAGATGAGGCCACGCTGCTCCCCAAGAAGCTACAGAAGGCTCTCAAGACAGCAATAAACATGTGCAAGATAGATAGCGGTAAGAGACTGTTGCATTGCCACATTTCTCTTTTGGTATTGTTAATGTCTTGGAGTTGATTTACAAGTAATCTGTGGAACACATTTTTGAAGTATCGATGATGAATAATGTCGCCAATTGTGCCCAAATCAGGAATCAGGCTTACTAACTGACAATGGTATAGGATCTATACTGAAATGTTCTTCTTACAGTACAATAAAGTAGCAGTTATTCATAAATCGTGCCTGGGTGTTGGGGTAGCCTAATGGTTAAAGTGTCCGATTGTCGTCTGAAGACATGGGTAAGATTCCCCACATCGGTACAATGTGTGAAGCCCATATCTGGTGTCCCCCGCCGTGATATTGTGGAATATTGCTAAAAGCGGCGTAAAACTAAACTCACTCACTCACAGCTGTTCATCAGTACTGATATTAGATTGTATTATGTCTATCTAAAATAGTGGGGTGATCCACATTTGTGCACGAAAGAGCTGTAAGATGATAGTAGTACTGCAGGGACAACTAATTGTGTATAGTTGACAGTGGAGAAGATGTCTGTTGAAAATCTGAAACTTCATTTGCAGCCAAATGAGGAGTTATGGCAGTATGATAGAGATCGTATTCTTAGAATTATCAACCATGATAACTATTGTTTGATATCAATAGTCCTGATAAGCTTCATCAGCCATCTTGCTACAGCGTATTGATGCTTCTGTTTGTCCTCCAGAGTCAGAGACATCACAATGGCTGATGGTGTCCGAGGCCTTCATGAGGATGTTCATTGAGATTATGGGTCATTTCGGGGAGCACATCATCACACAACAGGACGGCAAGAAGGTGTTTGAGGTAAGTGTCAGGTTTATCAGATATATTGCCTTGTTGTGATGGTAATCAGGGCTAGATTTAAGAGATGTTAATATCTACTTGCACCAGGTGCAACCTAAGATAAAAACCTGGTTGCACCAGCCAAATTCCAGCTGCACTGCTTTTATTGCAATATGAAATTCAAGAAATATGCTATTGAATTATTTAGATGTTTTGTTCAGAAGTTTACCCTCTCAAAAATTGACTTGCACCTGGTGCAAGTTAGACAAATAAATAGGTTGCACTTTGTAATATTGGGTTGCACCAGTGCAAGTAACAAAGCACTAAATCGAGTCCTGGTAATGTTTGTTCAAAGTCCCTGTGGGAAATCCAGATGAGAATAGGCCCAGCCACCAAGTGGATTGGATGGTCAGGCTCAGTGGTTTGGTTGATTGCATGTTATTTTTCCCTGACTTCATTGATCTTTGCTCACACTATCCATCACTGGATCATCTGCTCACATTTCTGGAATATTGAGCCAATTTTTTCCTGAAGGCTGCTGAAAATAGCTGGTATTTTCCTGATTGTGGGGTAAATCATTATACATCGTCTTCCTCTGTTTGCAGTCATTTGAGGTGAATGTAAAATTCTTTGACTGTTGTATGAAATAATTTGTACCTTTCACCCTTAATATTTGGATCGAACAGAAATCTTTTGGAAAATGAAATCAAGATTATCTAGAGTCGGAACTATTTCAAAACCACTCATTTATATGCTAACCAAGTTGAAACCTGTTTCGTCTTATGTTACAGAAAGAGAAGTTTTTGACACGTGTGAGTGCCAAGGGCATCAGACAGGTTCTGGAATGGTTCACTGAGACTCAGATGTTTGAAGTCTTTATGACCAATCAGCGGGAGAAGATCGAGTGGGGGACTGTGGGTAAGTTGTCCTTATTTGGACACGATAGTACAAAGCAGACAGAATTAGAATTGATCACTGTATCTTAGCTTTCCATATTTAGACATAATTGGAGCAGTCTGGTTTGAAATTTGACCATATTTGGGCATAATAATGAAAAGCAGTTGTAAACAGAAATTGTCACAGAGGCAACTGGACAGTAATTTTGAAATGATTGGGTCACTACTTTGATGGGCATTCTAGAAGTTGAGGAAATTAAGAATGAGGACAATTTTTTTTATATATATATACAACTTCTTTATTCTGTATAAGACAATGTTTCGACATAGATTCTAATGTCGTCTAATGTGATTGCGTCAGTTTTAAGTTTTAATAATTTGATGAAACCCATTGGTATGGTTCTTTTCAGCCAAGAAACATTAGCAGTATTCAAACCCATATCAAAGGTTTCTGGCTTGCCCAAGGGAGGCAACTCAACACAGTTAATTGACCAGTTGGGAATTATAAAAATAAATTAACCTGTCGCTGTGCGTCAGCTGGCCATTTTTAGTTGTGGAATTAAATGCAGATGAAGATGGCATTTCACACAATGACAATAATATTTGAAAATCGGATATAAGATCAAAACCCTCATATTAATCCTAGGTTAGAATGGGTGCCTGGCAACCTGTGCTTGTGATATGTGCTGCGTAAGCAGATGAGCTTGTGAGGTTTCTTGAATGGTTTGGAATAAGGATCATGATACCAATCATTCCATGGCTTGGTTCAGTCTTGATGTCGGTTGTCCTACAGCTGGAACATTGCTGGTGGGACGTAAAGTAAAACAAGTCACAACAAGATCAGAGAGAATTAGCTATGTGGGGATTAGGTTATGCTTATGTAGTTATCTTGAAAAGGATAGTTGACTGAAATTGTTCTTAGAATTTACATAAAATTTACAGTAAAATTTATTGTTTTCAGTGTGAATTCAATACAATTTCAGTTTAGTTGAGAATTTGGATTTTCTGAGTCTGCCTGACAATCCTGTTAGACCAAAGTCATGTTATTGCTGATTTCAGGGAAATATCACTCGTGTGTTTTTGGTTTCAGATTTGTTCATGTCAAGGTTGTTAGACTTTGAGAAAGAAGATTCCCGAGATTCAAACAAAGGTCTCGGTCGGAAGATGAAGAACTTTGGCAAGGCCATCAAGACTAAGCTTGGGCAGACATGACAAGACTAGTGAAGTGACACTTCTCTACCTTAGTGCTGGCAGACATATGTGTAATAAAGAGTTGACTCAAGCAAGAGCACAACACAAATGACAGTTCTCAACCTTAGTGCTGGCAGACATATGTGTAATAAACAGTTGACTCAAGCAAGAGCACAACACACATGCATCTGACTTGAGAAAGTTTTAACATTTATTTATCACTGTGATATTTCCCAATGTTTCTCGGGTATTCGAACAGATACTTCATTGAGGATCTTGCTTGATAACCATGAAGGTGTATACTTAAATAACTGTGTTTTGCACCGGAGGAAAGTTCCTAAATCATTATTAGGTCAGAGGTCAAAGACATTTCAGAGATGATTGTCAAGTCAGAGGTCAAGGATGTTTCCGACATCAAGGTCAGGTCAGAGGTAAAGCAAATATTTCAGAATTCAAGGTCAAGAATGAGGGTATGATATCAAGATATCAAGGTCAGAGGCCAAGGACAGGACCCATGTTTGATGGCACTTTCTGTTCATTCCTGTTGGATAACATGATGCCAATTGTGTGTACCAGTACATAACAGCCATGGCCATATCCAGAAGAAATGTGTCCTCTTTTTCCAGTTTACTTCAGCAACAACAACTATAGAATCATGGATAAGTATCTTCTGGAAGAATGCTTTCACTGAATATGAAAGGGAATTGGAAACTCTGATTTTTACAGTGAAAGTTTGATGAAATCATCGACTATTGAGGGATACCAAAGGGTAACAGATGAAACAGGTCTTTGGTGCTTTGGTGTTGGGACTAGCAGCACCTCAAGCAGGCCACTTCGTTAATCTTCTGTTCTTCTTTTGTCTGCAGTGAGAACCATCACAAGTCCACAGTACTGCTCCTGATTCTTATTGGAATGTGTTTTCAATGTACAACTCTCATCTTTCAGGGTATTATTAATATGTAATGTTGATTTGACTGTGATCATTCTTGATTCATAAGCTTCAATGATCTAAAGGAAGAAGTGTACAGCTGAATTCATAAAGATTGTTTTAACTTGGTTGTGGCCGAACCTGAAGCACCTGGACCTCGGACGTGGTTCTTCCGCAGAGTGTTGCCTGTATATGGAGGAATCCTCAGCTCTGTTATTGACCCTACTTGGGTGACAATACAGTAGATTAGGTCTTATTGTTGAATGCTGGTTCCTCTCTGCTGAGTGTTTGCCAGATCTTTGACAACAAGAACCTTGCCTAACTATAAGACTATCACACACACATTAACACCAATTAGGAGGAGCTGACATTCTTCCTGACATGTGAAAATAATCGTTTCTTTGTGTGCAAGCACTCGTCTACAATACAGTAAATTGCTGAATTTGTATTTCCAATGGCTATGTCCAGTGATATCATGCCTATTTTAGCTTGGTGACTGGGGATGTCCTTAGTCAATGGCTTTGTCCAATAACATCATGACCCTTTAGCTTGGTTACTGGGGTGATGTTAGTCATACGGGCAAGGTGCCTTCCAATGATCGGATCTGTGGTTTGATTCCTGTCGTCGGACTGTTAATGGCTGCTACTACATGCTTGTGATGTCTGCACTTTGTTCTTCCTGGAGATCTCCAGATGTTGACAGCTTAAGAAGGCAGCGATATTAGCACTTGGTGATTGATGATGCTGTATAACAGTAGAGGTGTCATGATGTCATTACCTCATGTATTGATACATAGGAATCATAGAATAATTATATATTATGAATCATCATACAAAATTGGGCTGGTTTTGTGTGTGGAATTCTTAATTTAGTTCATTCAGCTGGTTGTTATTGTCAAAAAGTGAGTATGGTTTTACACTTTTTTTAGCAATATTCCAGTAATATCACAGCAGGGGACACCAGAAATAGGCTTCACACATTGTACCCATGTGGGGAATCGAACACGGGTCTTTGGCATGACGAGCGAACGTTTAACCCACTAGGCTACCCCACTGCCTCTCAACAAGTGTATGTCTGCTTTTCATGACATGTTATTGTACACATGCATTTTACCTGAAACCTATTGATGTAGTTAAAACTGTAAATTGTGTATCAAAACATTTCAGAAATATCAAAATTTTGACATAAAAAATTCATGCAACCTCATCAGTGACATCTGTTTGACATCTATTTAGTAGTTTGTGTTCACCATGGTAACTAAAATCTACAAATCTATGTATGATTGTATTTGAGGCCGCTGTGTTAGGTCCGAGCCCCTCGAAGCTGAGGTGTAGTAGCCTAGTGGTTAAAGTGTTCGCTTTGTTTGCTACGCCAAGGCTCAGGTTCGATTCCCCACCTGGTTACAATGTGTGAAGCCCTTTTCTGGTGTCCCCTGCCGTGATATTGCTGGAATATTGCTAAAAGCAGCGTAAATCCATACTCGCTCACCAAGTCCTCCAAACTCGTTATTTTGCCGATGCATCTTGGACTGAAATTTGTAAACCTATAAACCATTACTTCTAGGCAAGGAGCTTGTGCCAATCCCTTTCAAATACATGCAGTAAAATGTTGTCTGATGGTCCATCTATTCATAACATACACTAGCCTGAATAGTTAGTATGCAGGGTTATTTTAAGACTAGGTAAATCTTATACTTTGAAAACTGACATGGATTAAGACATAAATCAATACATGGGTAGTTGTATTGCTGGTGCAAATTTATAATAATTCAGTGAATCATGACACCCCTCTATGACGGGTAACTGGCTTTGTAAAAATCGCATTGTGTTGTAACAGATGATGGCTGGGTTCTGGGTATCTTTGCTATAAATTGCAGGTTGTTCTGTCCAATCAAGGTAGCCTAGTGGTTAAAGCATTGGCTTGTCACACCAAAGACCTGGGTTCGGTTCCCCACATGGGTACATTTCTGGTGTCCCCCGCTGTGATGCTGCTGGAATATTGCTAAAAGTGGTATAAAATCATACTCACTCACTCACTCACTTTCCAATCAGTGTACCAGCCTGTTTGCCTCTGATAGCAACCACTTGATATTAAGTGACCAGTGGTGTAACATTTGATCTGATAGTCTATATTAATGCAAACCTACATGTCCACATAGCAATGCTTCAGGTCTGTTATGTTTTTTACTTTTCGCTTCAAGAAATACAACTTGCATAAGAAGTACATGGGTTTCATTTGGAACCTTTCTGGATGTGTATCAGACATTACAGAAAGGTACCCACAAACAACTTCATAAGCAGTCCCAGGATTAAACTAGTACTAGACACCCTTACAATCAAAATGCTGGATCAAGGCCAGAGTCCTCTGTCAGCAGTAGCAGCAGATGGATACGCTTTCTGTAGCCACTGAATTGCTGTTACAACAGCTCTTGTCGTGAAGATCCATATTCTGTAGTTTTGTAATTAGAGTTGTTATCTTGAATCTACAGAACAACAGAATCTGTCAAAATTCTTGTTTTGTAGGTCCAACATTTAGACTGTTTCAGGCAGATGTAGTGTTACATGGAATGCATGCCTTTGCTAAATTAGCTGCGTAAACCAGAAACTGAAAATGTGCTCAGATACTGTCAGCGATCGAGATCATTTAGTCTGGCTTCGACAGATTCTGTTGTATGTGTTTAATGATTTGCTGAAGCATGTCCCAGGAATAAACTTCATGAACACATGGTCTCACTTTTTGAAATAAGCCTGCAGGTGCAATGTGAAGGCTCAAATTGTAGTTTCAGATTTTATAGAATTATGTCAGCTATAGCTTTGTTTATCACCATATGCCAAACACAACAGTAAAACCATTGCCACAGCAAATGGCCCAGAACGAAATATTTCTCATTGTCGTGCATATCATTTTAAACCTAAGTGGTCAATGCTTTTTTCCCCCGTTCCAAATTCAGCCATTCCAGATTTACAGCATTTAGCCTTCAAGTCTGCATACCATGATATACAAAACTATTACACTTCCAATGCTTATACTCTAACTATATTCTTGATGGAATTTAACAGCCTTATTTTAAAATTTGATATTGATGAAAAGATATTTATTGTATTTGGTGACCTTATTGAAGTGTTGTTTGAATGACGATGATCAAAGGTGGGATGTTGCTATGTAGCAGCAGCAGGTTATAGGTTGTACACATGCAGGCTTCATGTCAACTAACATAAAGAATCATGGATGTTGTTTTAAAGATAATGGCAATATTTTATTCTTAAATGATTGTTTGGTGTTTGTTTTAACTTTTAATGCAATATTCATCATGTTTGTTGTCATTGGTCAATTTTCTGAAGCTCATAGTTGTCTGTGTAATTCTTATAAGTATATTCCAATACTTGTAGTGCATATGATTTATAGTGTCATGGTTTTAGAGGAGAAATTGCAAATGCCTCATAGGTTTTTCTGTATCCGATCAAACTTTTCTCTTAAAGTCAGATCAATTTATTTTCTTGTTTTTCAGATGTAGCTACAAAATTAAAAAAGACTTCCTTGATAATGTTATAAGAAAAACCATGGAAACATTACTAATCTAATACTGTTAGATTCATGTTACTCACTGTCTTAGCAGTCCTAAAAGACATTTTGTTTGATTTAAATACACTATTTGTAATGATTGCAGCGAATACCTTCATACTTCATAACGATCATCCTGAATTTTGTCTGTCTTCTCACTGTCAGCTATCCTGTTAGTTCTTGTGCAGAAAACAGTAGCAAAACTGCTCTGAAACAAACTTTGATAGTTGACCTCAAATCCTCATAACATTTTACAAAAATATCATTTAGCTACTTGACATGTGGAATAAGAAACTGGAAACAGGAAATTAATTTGATCTGACCTAAGAAAGTAGAAACTACTTGGCAATTTAATCAAAAGAATCTATTTTTTGTGTATAGTTCTTTTTTGTGTATATAGGTCATTTTTTAGGTTTTATTCTGGCCAGTTTTTTAGAGCATTTCTTTCAGATACTATTTCTGGAGCTAACTGATTTTTGGGGGTTTGATGCTACCAAAGATACTACTTCGCCAGCACAATGTTGTCTTTGCATTTGAGTCTTTGAATTACAATGAACTTTCCAAATATATGTCTCCAATTCATGTTTTAGATACATTATACAAATGTTTATTGAAATAATCCTATCACCTGTCATTGTAAATATCATTGAATAGTCATCTGTTTCACAATGTATGTAGTATGTTAAGTTTGTGTAGATTTAATACCTTCATCTGCAAGTAGTCTTTGTATAGGTCAAAGATATATATAGACAAGTGCAGTATTATTTTGTGATATTTTGTCGACTTTTTTCATGTACATGTATGTTGTGTTGATAGAGCAACCATCCTGCTTTGGTCTTTGTGGAATCTCGTACTGACGTGTTGGATTTGTCATTTGTTTCTCAAAATATGTCAAAAGTGACAACCATCAATAATACAAATCAGTGAAATATTTAATGTTGAAATTGAAATTGAAATTTTGCAATAAATGTCAGTGAAATATTTAAGTGATCAGAAATCAAATATCAAAAATGATCAGAAATCAACTATCAATAATTCAAATCAGTGAAATATTTAATGTTGAAATTCAAATTGAAATTTTGCAAAATATGTCAAAAGTGATCAAAAGTCAACTATCAATAATTCAAATCAGTCAAATATTTAATGTTGAAATCTAAATTCAAATTTGTTGAATTCAGCAGTTAGGAACTGTGAGATTTTTCTTCAGTGAAGCTAATGTTAACGTCTTCTATTGGGGTAGTGCTTCTTGTTGTTGAGGTAAGATCAGGCATGTGTTGGTTATAATCCTCATTTTAAGATAATTGATGTGGTGATGTGAGCGTTTTAATTAGGGATGAAGGGGTGGGCGATGTGTGTGTTAGGACTGACATGGCATCAGTATGGTAGGGGCGGTGGGTTAGCCTAATGGTTAAAGCATCTGCTCGTCACGCTTAGAGATCTTAAGTCTATAATACATGGGGATTTCAATTTCGGATGGACATGCTAGGTATAATTTGTACCAGAATAGAATTGTCAGTTATATGTAACACACACTCTACTAATCACAAGTTGTAAGCACAAAGGAGGCCCTGGTGACAGGAGAAAATATATGGGAAAGAGAATTTTTTAATGTATCACGCTTTTTCATTTATAGAATTGGCCATCATGTTTTGTACTGGAATTTTAAATGGGTGGTCACAAATTTATTGTTTATCCCCGTACTGAATGGTCTGAATATGATCATCGTATTTTACATTGATGTTCATGGAATGTTTAACGTATTTATCCCATTTTTAT